GGAGGGGGGACCTGTAGATCCTGTCCATACAAACATTTCCCCAGGTCTCCACCACATGATATTACATATGTTTATGTACATATTGAACGGCGAATTCCTTGAAAGGCTCAACTTTCCTCTGTTTCCTCAGCACCAGAACTGGCCCTAGTACATAAATGTGTAATGGATACATGAAAACCCATTTCTTCAGATTTTTAAAGCTTTAAGTTTCAGGTTCCTTATAAAATAGAAACCCCTCCAGAAATTAATTTCTTAAGCCACTACTAACAAACATCTTAGCCGAAGCTACAGAACAATTCGCTGAAGTTAGAGTGGTAACAGGTGCCCACAGTTACCCTTCTGGCGCATTTCAACGTCATCTACACCCACCCCCACCACTACATGCCAAAGGCAAAACCTATTTTGAAATACGGTCTACATACAACACTACCTGAAAAGAAAAGAAAAAAATTATTTTAATAAAAGTATATTTCTAAAATGCTTACCTTGCCTCATAAATGAAAGTGCTTTTTCTCTCAAATTATCTGTCAGTTGTTTTTTCTTAGTCAAATAATCCAAAACGTATATATTTGGTGCAAAATTTATCATGTTCTGCTCCCCACAGCCATAAGGCATCCTGATCAGTGAATCTAAGCCATGGATAGATGGACCAAGAATATCTCCTGAAAGTATAAGACATTCAATTCATTCAGTAAACAATAGTTTCCTCCTGGTGGTAAAAAGAAATAACAATTTATCCCAAATGAACAGTACAGAAGCTTCATGCTGTTTAAGCAGTATTACAGGCAACCCCCTCTATGTGTGCACACACATATATATATGCACTTAAGTACGTACATGGGGGCATGTGTATTGCATCTAACCAGCATGTGTGCTGCCTTTCCCAGCATCTCAACATTGTGAAAAATGCTTTTTAAAAAAACAACACACACACACAATGACCTATTGCCATCAAGTTGAATCTGACTCACAGTGACCTTACAGGACTGACTAGAACTGCCTCATAGGGTTTCCATGGCTGTAATCTTTAGGGAAGCAGACTGTCACATCTTTCTCCCATGGAGAGGTTGGTAGAGTTTGGAACTACTTACTGTGTAGTTAGTACCCAAGCACTTAACCACTCTGCCATCAGGGCCCCTTGGAAAGTGCTTAGGCTGAATTCTTTTCCCTAAAGAGAGAACTAATTTTATTCTTTTAAAGAATTATATCTAAGGTTCTAAATAAAGTTTTCTATGTAGAATCTTGGGAGTATGTTGGCTCCATACCCGAAGCACAGGACTAAGAACCATAGTGTCCATGGTTCGAGCACACCAGGCACTCCATGGGATAAAGATGAGGCTTTCTATTTCCATGAATATTTAAAGCTTTGGGAACCCTAGACAAGGTTGCTGTGAGTTGGAACAACAACATATACATACATGTGTTGTTTGGGGTATAATAAAATTACACCTGCAGATGAAATTTAAATAACTTCACAAAAAATGCCTAGGTACTGAGGACCTAATAAGCTATTTAGATGTCATTAATCAAAACATTTCCTTCCATTATTTATGAAGCACACATATATAGACAAGCTGTGTGGAAGTTATGTTCACTAGCTGAAGTTGAGTCAATAGATCTTTTAGGTTACTGGAAGGTGACTAGGAAAGGGTGACTAAAGTCAGTGGATAGCTTTCTGCTGTAAAATCCACTTGTAAACTGCACAGAAGTACACGAGGTGGTTATCAGAATCACTCATGGACATTTTTCAAAATATACATGTCTAAGCATACCTTCTGCCCTGTCTGATCCCGTAAAGATTTACAGTCTCAGCAACCCTCTCTAAGGAGCATTATGAGTCAGAATCTACTTGATGAGTGTGGGTTTGTTTTTTTTGGTGGGTTAGTCATACCCCCAAGAGATTCTGATTTAGTGGGTTTAGGGTAGAGCCCAGATATGTGAGTTTCCATAAAACTCCAGAGAGTTGAGAACCACAGAAGTCAGCTCTGCTCTTAAAAATAACCCTCCCACCAGCCACAAATCAGGGCCTTGCTGCTTAAAGTGCAGTTCACAAATCAGAAGCATCAGCATCACCTGGGAGCTTGTTGTAACTGCAGAATCCCAGGCTCTCCCCTTGGGATCTGTTTTTAACAAGTTCCCCAAATGATTCACATGCACACTGAAGACTGAGTAAAGTAGTCTTTGATAGATATGTGTTTTCATAGCCTTTATATTACAGTCAATAGTACAAACTAAAAACTTTTTGCAAATTCTCCTCATTAGAACTAAGTAAGAAAATAATCTATAAATAGATATAAAATAGATATTGTCAGATGCAAATAAACTTGTAGATGGTGAGAGACTCTGTTCTTACCAACTGCAGTGATCTGAACTCTTTCACTACCATTTACTGTCTCAGGAGGAAATGAGAAACTCAAAGTTTCCAGAGTCTTTGGTAGCTTTGGGTCAGTCAAGTCTAGTAAGATGGATTGTGAGTATGATTTTTCAATCCCTTCAGCCTGTCAAAAACAAAGAACACAATTAACATGGTGTATATTTGGAGTCCTGGTGTGGTGCTGTGGGTCAATGCACTGGATTTGTCAGTTTGAACTGCAAGGTGGGCAGTTCCAGCTCACCAGCCGCTCTTTGGACACCCTACATAGGGTCGCTATGGGTCAGAGCAAATTGATGACACAACAATAACAAATATTAATCTATTTATAGATCTGAGATCTATATCATGACGAGCACAAGCATGTTGTGCCTACAGTTTGTGTAGAGGTAGATCAGTATCGACCATTTCTTGACTCTTAATACAAATTTTTAAATTTATAGTTAAATTAGATAAAACGTTTCATGGACTAGCAATAGAAATAATAAAGGAAGATGAAGAGTGATGAGAAAAACATTCTGAGGTAGTCCTCATTATTACTCAGAGGAACGAAATACCTTGCTCAAAGTCACACTTGACAGAGCTGGGATTCGAACCAAGAGCTGTTTCACTGCAGAACCCAAATGTTTACTCACCATGTTGAACTGCCTTTTTAAGCATAATGCCTTCTCTGGAAAACTGCAAAACATCTTCCACCTGCACTGAGAAGTTGCAAAATTCTAACTCTACGCATCAACTTAACCATGATTTAGTAGGACCTCAATTAACATTGTTTGCAGATATAACTGACTATAAAAGAGACGTGTTTTACAGTCACACTCCCTGGTTAAACTTAAAGGAGAGATTGCTAATTACTTCTAAAACATACCTGTGATATATTTCTACAGAGATGAAGAAAAATCATATGTTACCAGGAAGGTAGAGGAGAATACCTACAAGGTCTTGCCAAAAATTTAATCACTTTTTTTAATTAAGAAAACTACCTTTCATTTCCTTTTCAATTAACAGTTTCATTTATTTAAGATTTCAAATACTTACCTTTACTAAGATCTTCTGAGTAATAGCATCAGAAGTCGTGGGTGAAATAGCTGTGACTGTGATGGGAATTTCTCCTAGGTGTGTTGGCTTGACTGGGAAAATAACAGTTGCCCCATCCTCACTGGGAACCAGTATGGTCTGCTGGTATCCTGTGGCATTCATTTCATTTGAAGTCACTAGAATTTCAAATTTGTCACTTTCCTTAATGATTACCTTAACCTAGGAGAAAAATTAAAAACATAAATATATATACTTATCAAAAGTTCCTTAGAACAAATACTTACAGTAGAGTACTTAGAGCCTGTGTACTTAGATAATGAGAGAAAGATGAGATAAAGATCCAGTCAAGGAAAGAATGAAAGGGTACCAGGAAAAAATTTAACTTCTCTTATACACTCCCCTTTCAACTGTGACATTTTGGAGAAAGGGCACACTGCAACTCTGTTTCTAGTCTTCCCACTAATACTAAATTCTCTCATTATCCTAAGCCACTGGTGGTAAGGATGCATCTGAAGAAGTTATCTCATATATTGGTGTTGCCACTCAAGTCTGCATCATCCTGAGACACTGAGCCCATTAGAAAAATCTGAGACAAGCAAGATGAAATGTTACTATACTCATTGACAGTATCTGCTAAAATTATTTCTAGAAAAGTATGACTCAAACATTAGTCCTGAAGTGTATCTTGACTGAAGTTTTATAAATTATGACAAAGTTGCCAGTCTCAGAAATAGCATTTCTCCAGCCCTTAACATTCTGTGAATTGTTTTCCCACTTATTTTCTCACATGCGTCTCTAAATACTTTTTGGAGAGATAACAACTATGATTCCCATACCAAGATGAAGAAATTGCAATGAAATTATTTGCCTGTAAGTGACAAAGCTGAAAACTGATTTCTAGATCCTTCACTCTTTACACTCTACTATGTTGGTTTGATTTAAAAAGCAGAAATGTTAAAAACTAAAGACCAATTTACTTCATAGATACAGAACTTAAATAGATATTATAGTATATTCATGTGATAAAATTAATTACATATCCCTATTAAATCAATCATTTCATTAACATTAATATGGGCACAGATGCAATGTGCCTCTATAGGATGAGCATTGGACTGTTAACCACAAAGTCAGTGGTTTGAGATATACAAGACTTTGTGCTCCCAAAAAGATTTACAGCTTTGGCAATCCTAAGCAGGATCACTAGGAGTCAGAAGTGACTCGACAGCACTTATCAATAATATGGGTACAATACAAATAATGGGCAAATCCCTGACTTTCATGGAAAACAAAAGACATATGACTCAAACAACAAATTTTTGAAGATATGTCACACTGTACAAACATATGAGGAGTATAAAAAGAACAGATTGGCTGATGTTCCTCTGAAAAGGCATTTTTAAGCTACATCTTAAAGGGAATAAATTTTGCCAACTACACGGGGCATAGAAAAGCAGTGATCAGTGACAATGCATTCTAGATGTAGGGAAGAATAAGAGAAAATACAGGGAGGCAGGAAAGAGAAAAACATGCCTCAAAGATAATGAGGAAGCAACACGGCTAAAATAGAAACCCTTTGCTGGAAATTAAGCAGAAAATTAGCTTACACATGTTAATAATATTCTTATACATATACAGATGAAATTACTTACAAAGCAAGTCTATTTTCAGTCTGTCAGAAATGTGCAAAATGCTTTGATGCCAGATGCCCACCCAACCACTACACAACCTCGCCATGTTGTTTCCTTAAATGTCAATCATTAATAAAAGCATCAATGTATTACCTCAGTGGCATCTTTCAAATAATTGAATATGGTTACTTCCAAAGCAAATTCTTCACCTCTGATAACAGAGTAGGGAAGATTCAAAAAAATGAAAAATGGTTGAAAGGCCTGTAGCTGGAAAGAACACAATGAGTACATATTTTCATTCAGGTCATAATGCTTCACATTTTATGCAATTAAAAGCAATTCTTACAAAATTTGTGGCACCTATGGATTCCTGGCATGGCACTGCAGGATAATGCACTGAACTAAAAGATCAGTTTGAACCACAAGGTCGGCAGTTCAAACCCACCAATCACTCCTCAGAAACCCTATCAGGGTCACTATGGGTCAAAACCAACTTGATAGCATGTAACGACAACAGAACTTCATCCAGAAATGTTCACCTTCCTATAAACTGAAAGGAAATAACAATTTATCCTTAATGAATGATGGCAAATTGATCAATGGTAATCACATATTAATTGTGTGCCCGCTATGATCCAAGCACTTTGCAGAGTTTTCTGATTTAATTGTTTCAGCCCTATGAGATAGGTGTTATGCTCCTGTTTTAAAGAAAAGAAAACTGAAGCTCAGAGACCTCTGTAACAAGTGTAAGATCACACTGTTGGTAAGCAGAGGAGCCAGAACTGGATCCCAATGTGTTTAATGCCAAAGCAAATGCCCTTTCTACAATGCTACACTGATTCCACCATTCTGCTCTAAAAAAATACATTGGACAAATGTATTTGCATTGGCCCTTTTTAGAACCAGCTGAGGAGCATCTAATTATAGCAAGCCTGGTGGTGTTCCAATAACTACCTTCTACACATACATAGTCTGACTCTGTGGGTTAATGCGCTGGACTGCAAGGTCGTTAGAATGACAAGATCAGAAATTCAAGCTCACCAGCCACTCCTTGGAAACCCTATATACGGTCACTATGAGCCGGCAATGACACAACAGCACTTAACAATAACAACTAACACGTATGGAACCCTGGTGTGGTGCCGTCCATACTCACCAACCATGCTCAGAAATTCGATGCAGAGTCCCTATGAGTTGGAACCAACTTGATGGCACACAACAACAACATCAACATATACACACATATGTAGATACTTCTTCCTTGGTAACCAAAGTCCCATATTATTGGTCAGATCCTGAAGAGGAGGCTGATCCCTACCTCAACTCACTGCATACCATCTCCCCTCTCCCCTATCTCTGAGCAGCAGTAATTCCCTCTGGAGGTTGATTTGAACATTTGTGAAAATGTCTCAGATTGTCACAATGATTGGAGTGTGCTGTTAGCACTTGGAGTACTAGTGTGGCACTGTGGGTTAATGTGCTGGACTGCAAAGTCGGTTTGAACCACAAGGTCAGCAGTTCAAGCTCACTAGCTACTCCTTGGAAATCCTATACAGGTTCGCTATGGATCAGAACCAACTCGACAGCACTTAACAAGAACAACATTAGCACATCGTTTTAGTGAGCAGCTGTAGGATAAGCACCGCACTGCTTATCGTAACCTTGGCAGTTCAAATCCACCAATCACTCCTCAGAAACCCTCAACAGGGTTGCTAAGAGTCAGAACACCAACTTGACAGCACTTAATAACAACAACTTTAGCACTTGGTGATGAAGATCTACAGTGCTAAGGATACTTTCAACCAATGGTGACTAGTTCCATTTTCCATGTTTCTTGAATGTCGCTTCAGACAACCAAATAGATACAGCACTAATTTACAATTCTATGAGCCTAGAACCTAATTCCAATTTGTATATAACTAAAAGCATTTTTAAATACACACTGAATATCTTACAGTACAACTATTTTATAAATCAAGAGATGATTGCAGCTTGGTTTCAGAAATGTGTTCTGAATCTTCAGAACAATGCATGTACATTAAACTGCATGTGTAGCTGCTACATACAAGAAGATTGTGCTTGTGGGTAATCATCTAAGTATTTCACTATGCTTCCTAGTGTAAGCTGTGCCCAGTTATGTACATAGTAAAATACCTACTAATTTATTATATGACTTCCCTTTTATTTCTCCTTATTATTTACCAAGGGCATTACATCGATTTATATTGACTATGTATACAGTCAGGCCATATTACCTATGAATTTCACCTCAGGAGATAAAGGAGCAACACAAAAAATCTGTTATAAAAAGGGGGGTTCAGATCTGACAGAGCGCTGGTATAAGGGACTAATCTAAACCAGTGATCAGTGACTGATTTAGGAAGTAATATGTGATGCAAGTTGACTAAAGAAATATGAAGAAATTTCTGCTCAGGATAATCTAAAGAAGTTCTGTGCCTCTTTGAAAAATGAAAGGCTGAAGTATACTCTCTCTTCTGGATATTAGAGTGCTTAGGGAATAAACTTTTCTATTCAAATGTTAATATAAACATAATACATTCAGTAGTTTAATAGAGAAAAGTAAAATGACGGAATCTCAAACTGTGATCAACATTACAAATATCTTTTTTTTTTCCCATCCATCAAAGAGTTGACACTTTTTTGGCTTTATAGCACTCTAAGTTTATGAGCAGCCCTACCTCCACAGGAGCATCTGTCAATCCAAAACCCAGGTCCTCAGAGATCACGAAAGCTGTAGCCTCCCAAGAAGTGATAGTATCAGGTACAGTAACTTCAAATTGTTGGTAAACCCTGGAACTGAAGTTAAGAGAAACAAAAAAAATCATAAAAGCAAGAACCAGCTCCAATATGCTTCCAAATAAGTCAACATAAATTATTTTTTGAAGAATTTTAATTTTCTAAATCATTTACATTTCTAAATCTAAAACAATTAAAAATAAAGATGAACTAGTAGATTCCAAATTCTCAAGAACTAGGTCATAATACTATAGACTGATCCATATCCCACTAAAATCTTTCTATACTATATTTACATCTTCAGAATGAGCATCATTTTCATAAATATTGCATACACACCTATTTTCAAACTGAACTCTAACTTTTTTTCTCACTTGGAAGAAAATTTTTTGTCTCTGTATACCTGTCAAATGCTATTTGTTTGTTTTGTTTTTTGAGGCTTAACTTACGGTGTTTTTTTCAAGTTTCCCTAAATGGCTAACCGTAATATATAAGTCGTTCGTGTATTACAAATGAGTTCTGTTCCTAAATCTGTCTTTAAATTCAATTTGTACACAAATCAAAACAGTTAGGTATGGTTCATATTTAAAGCAGTTTGCCCTAGTAGATACTATATGGTGTATCTTTCTATGCGTAAAATCATGAAAGAAATACTTCCCTAGATAGGTACTTCCCACTTTTCTTAAGTTCACTTTATGTGTCTTTACTTGGTAACTGAAAGAAATTTGAAGAAGATTTTTGCTTCTACAAACCAAACAAACAAACAAAAAGGTGAAAAGAAAACTAGCACAGTTTGTTTTGCAGTGAGCTATTAAAGAGGCAGTGTGTACCAGGAGCAGCAAAAGTGGTGTCACCAAGCTCCTTCCCTAGGGACGACAGTCCACATCTCAGCATCAAGTTGTTATAGCTTTGAACTGTCTGTGAACATTATATGTTAATGTAACTTTAGGTTTTATGTGTTATTTGATATGATTCCGTAGGGTATTTTTTGGGTCTAGGAATGCTCAAAAAAAGAAATTAATGGCAATTTCTTATTCATTTTATGCCATTTGGACTTAAAAAAGGTTTCATAGGAACACTCTACGTTCAGACAGTGAAGGAAACATGTAGACTAAACCATTTTTAACATAATAATAGTCATTTTAATAATACTGTGTGTTGCAAAGTAGCACCCATTTATTATTTGAAATCATTTATATATGCCTTGAATTTTTAAGACACAGAGGCTAGTTCATAAACATGGGCTGGGTGTAAGTGAGATGTTCACACCCGAGGGACTGCCTATATTATATACATTTCATGATTTACAGGCTTAGTCACCAGGCAAAGTAGCACAGATGATGTCAGCTAAGCTAAATTCCTTCTACCATTCATCTCCCTTCTCCCTGTGGCTCAGGAAGACATTTTATGAGGAGTGGGATTTAGTTAGAGGTACTGCCACAAGGTAGCAGGAAGTAGTCACATGTACTTTCCAGCCCAAGTCACCAAATACATTCCCAGCTATTTTCTCCATCAGTGACCCCAAGACTACAATGAAAGTGAAAACCACCTTTAATCAGAAAACGATCAGTGCCTAAAATCAAGCATGCAACCAATATAATTTTGTTCCTTGATAATACTTCTACCACAACAATTTGCATGGGGCTTTATTAAATACTATGTTAAAATAAAATACAAAAAACATCATTGGAAAACAAAAACTTCTTGGTCTTAGTTCTTAATCACACTGTGTTTGTACTTAAAATACTCAAAAGAAAGCAAAATATATTTAAAGCATACACTAAACAAAAAACAGGTAAGTAAAGATTTTACCCCATGTCGGTGTCTAGCCAAATCCAAGTCTCTGGAAAATGCTTTCTGACCCGTGGATTACTAATCGAAGGAAGGTCATGAAAATCTACAGAATAACTGTCACTTTCCTCCATAAACCTCTCGGCAATCTCTTGATCGTCATCTGAAAATAAACATTGACAAATGCTAGTAAAAAAGTCACTGAAGAAAATGAATTACAGACTTAGTCCTTAGAATCATAGCACTCTGTGCTGCACAGGACTTTGGAGTTAGTCTCGTGCAGTGCTCTCATGAGATGAGAAACCAGAGATGTGGAGAAGTCCAGTGACCTACCCAAAGACACACAGCCAGTACAGCAGAGCCACGATTAGAAACAATGTTTCCAACTCCTACAGAGTCCTGGCATGGGGTATGCAATGGACTGCTAACTGCAAGGTTGCTGGCTCAAACCCATCAGTCGCTCCTCAGAAACCCTATACAGGGATTCTATGAGTCAGAACTGACTTACCAGCACTTAACAAGAAGAGCAACCCCTACAGACAATATCGGAAAAACTGCTTACAGTTTAGTGACTAAAAAAGAAAGTTTAAATTTTAAATCATGTTTTTAAAACAACCTACTTAAGCAGTTAACTGCTAACCGCAGTCAGCAGTTCAAACCAGTCGCTCCTCAGAAACCCTTTACAGGGTCACTATGGGTCAGAGCTAAATTGGTGGCACTTCTCAGCAACAACTACCTTTCTCTGTCTAGCTCCCTAGTGCTGATTACCATTGGCTGCGCCAGCTATGAGATGCCACAACCACCCAGTTTATTGGCTTTTTACTTGTAAAAATAAACTATGTTTCCCTAAAGACCTATGAGAATCTTTTCCTCAACTTTTCTGTTAGTCTAACTTTATTTCAAATTAAAATACAAAGAAAATTCACTGCAACAGAAACCAGTGATACAAAGATGAATACAATGAACTTACTGATAATACTATGAAGGAGGAGACAGATGCACAGAAAACTGGAACAAGCACAATACGGGTGAAAACAGACACACATAATGTAAAGAATGGCTGATTTTACACAGAATCAGAATGATGGCTAAGGGTCTGGCTAAGAAGAAAACAAGCAGAATGACTTTCCATTTTGCACCATCTCTTTAGTCCAGATAAAGGACATTCCATACAGGAAGAAAATAGTGAGCCAAGTACAAAGCCCTATCAAGAACATGACAATGGGCATTTTGTAAAAGCAGCATAAAATGACAAGACCAAGAATACGTGAGTCCAGATTTTAAAATGCCAAGTATCCCATGTTGAAGGAACTTATTACACTTTAAAGCAACAGTGAGCAAATGAAGGTTTTAAAATAAATTGGAAGATGATCTACCCCGTGTTTTGTAAATATAACTGTCATCAGTGTGAACAATGGTTGCCAATTGGAGAAACTGAAGTGAAGGAAAACAGTTAGGCAGTCAAGTCATGTACAGTACGGAGGTAAGAAAAGGGTAGTCTCAAGAGATGGCTTTGCTGTGCCTCCTAGCTGGATGCCTTCTATGTACAGGTATGACACTATATATTCCCCCATCACAGCCTTTACTCACTCTACTAACTGCATGGTGGTCTGCCCTACTAGACCAAACTGGTATCCCAATTACCTAGTATATATAGGCATGCAGTTAATATCACTATTAATTAAATAATGAAATAAACAAACTAGATCCAAGGGACAGGATAATAGATCATCGTAGGTTTACAAAGTGCCAAATATGTGCAAAAAATGTAGATATTTTTGCATTTAACCTCATAACAACCCTGTTGTTGTT